GTAGGAATTGGTGTGATCACTAGTCATATGACTTTGGGAACATCCAGTTCTTCCCTAGTGAGAAACCTTGAAAAGGTATCTGCTGATAACCACTGAGTAACTAGGAAAAGACAACTGGATCAAGATGGCCTGGGCCACCAGTAGAAGGTAATAGAGCCCAACACAAGATAAGCACAATTTTTTTAAAAAATTATTCTTCAAATTGTGCATTCCTCGTCTAAGCACTAGGCTTGGTACAAAGGAGGACACGGATAAATTGATCTTATACTAGCCCGGTCTCAATAACTGAGGAGAACATAATGCCTACACTAGTGCTATGTGGCCAAACTAGCTATCTAGGAAAAACAGGAAGTCTTCATAACTTGCAGCATTTGCCAATTTCTGCGATGTAAACGTTGGCACCATAACTGACTGGATTTTACCAATGATTTCTCCATAAGTATTCAGCTCACAAAATCTCGAAGTATTTAGAGATTGGCTCTAGGGAGCCGCTCCGGACATTCAAGGAAGTGCCATTCCCTTATTCTTGTCATACCTGACATCTTTTTAATCACTTTCTTTCTTATTAATATCTTTATCATGTGAAGGACAAGGAAAATAGAGATAAGAGGGAAGCAGCTGATATTCCTGACAGTGGTTCTAGCAAAAGAGACTAGGGAGGAAGTTGAAAATAATTGACTAGATTTGTATTGGTTTCAGTTAACCCACTCTCTCAATCCCTTAGTACCACAGATAATTGAAAACAGATAACCTAATCAAATGTGCAAAGTACAAGCACACTTTCTGACCAAATACAGGATTAATGGTCATTACTCCGAGGGATATAGAAAGAAGCTATGCTCAAGAACCCAAAAAAAGAGTCAAGTTCACCAAGATGGCAGAAGGGATGTTAAACTGGGAAATCAAACAACTTCTCTGGGTAGATGCAACATGGAAAATATTTTCCTGAAATGTTTAAGATCAGTACATCATTCTGGACTGCAACTAAACAAGAAAAGGGATACCAAACCAACAGGAAAGGAAAGACCATTTAGCAAAAGAAAAATAAAAATTTATCTTAAAACTGCTAGAAACTGGGACAATCTGGGAAATTTTATTAAGTTTTATGATGGTTTAACTAGCAAAAAAAAAAAAAAAAAATCACCACCATAGCAAAGGGCTCCTTGGGTGGTATTTATGCTTAGAAGGCGGCAGCTGGGGATATTTCCTTTGCTCTCAGAGACTCTGGCTTGACTCTCTCTTCTTTCTGCATCTAATGGTGGCAATGCCACAGGAGTACAGTAATCCATCAAAAAATGTGCTCTCCTCTAGGGCAAGTCAGTTTCCATAAGTAAAGAATGCTTGAGTTCAAAGTCAGAGTTGTCTACAAAAGCAGTTTTATTTTTATGGCTCACTAAATGTTTATTGAAGTGAGCCCCATTCTCTGTGACAATGCTTGGCTGATCCAGACTCCCTGGATCCGAGCTGGGGAGGGGTTGGGAGGGCTCGTCCCACTTTGTTGCATGAGTTTAGCTGACCTACTCTCCAACCATTTGCGATGACAGGGCTTGGAGGCTACCTACTGGAGCAACAGCTGTCATTTGTTATACAACGTGAAATGACAAACTCAAGCCACTTCGAGGAGAAATGGGAAAAAAATTAAAAATATGCAAAGCTGTGAATACAAGGAAAGCATGTACGTGTCGAAGTGAAACAGCTAGTGCAGTGTCATTTCTATGTATAGACAAGCAAAAAATGAAGGAATGGAGAGCCATGTTCCTTTCAAACAAAGCACAACAGTGACAAAAGATTCTGATACTTAATATAAAAAAATAAAATCACGCAAAGTGTGTCATTTGGGGCTGGCTACTTGTTTCGAGACCTGAGGGGAACCAAAGGGGTTAGCGGGGGACAGATTTAATCTTAAGGTCTTTAAATCAGTCAATTACCCACCTCAAGTAGAATGTAATTACCCTCTTTCACTGGTGCACAATACAGCCATCATGGCTGTGTCTGATGAGCTAAGAGCAACTCATTTAAAAATGAGAAAATCAGGCATGAACTAACTATGCCGTTATGCCCGAGAGTCAGCAAAGGCAAGACCAGGTTCCACTGGTGAGGACATAAGGGTGGGCAGTCACCAGGATATCCACAGCTGTGTGTGAGTCACATCTGGCTGAGGCAGATATGAGATCGTCATACAGCGTGGAAGGGAGATTTGGGATTTTAAAACAGCAAACAATTGGAAACCTTGAGAAATCAAAATTAATGCAAGACTAATTAAGGCATCATGAAATCTAGAAGAGAAGCTGATTCTTCAAAGTGGGGCAAAAGGAGCCAAGGACTCCAAGTATTCCATCATGGTATTCCAATGGCGTGGTTTCTGAATGTCAGAGGGAGAAAAATATGATGTGAAGAGAACTGGAGCCAAAAAGAGTATTGACAATTTTAACAGAGGGTGGAATTGTGCCGTATTTACAAACACTAAACGTAAGAGGCAAAGATCTGTTTGAATACCGACTCTGTGGTTACTGGCTGGGTTGTGTGAGTGTGTACAAGTGTGCGAGCCCTTCTCTTAAGGTCTCTGGGTCTGAAAGTCTTCTTTGGCAAAATAAAGGACTTAACTACAATCTGAATAGTGGTTTAAAGCTTTAAAATTCTAGGAAATTAAAACTTGGGAGAGGAGAATACAGGCCTCTTAGGAAATGAAAGGCCTAGAGCAACATTCTTTTGCTGGAAAGGGGAGATAGTGACTTCAACCCAGCTGTTAGACCCATAGCCACTCAGCCCCCACCTGCCCTGTACCTAAACCCACAACCCAGAAGGACACGGTTTGGTCTCAGAACATTCCATCCCTTGGATTATTTGATGACGTCTCTGTCTCCTACCATCCTGACAAGGGACAGCTTTCTAAAAGTAGAGAAAATCCTTTCCAAGAAAACAAACACTCAAAGAACGGTTCCATTCTGTTACCTGTTTGGATTACATAATGACTCTGAGGTTGAAACTTTCATACTGACACACCAAAAAGAACTCTGGGCTCATGGAAGCCAAACTGTCTTTTTTCTCCACCAAAGTTCTGAAAACATCTTCATGTTCCTAAAAAGCCATTTGCCAGTGCTCACTGGAATGGCAACAAAAAACTGCCTCATCTCTGCTTGGAACAGAAACTCAGATCAGAAGTTTTAACTCTGTGGGGATACAATCCTATGTATGATATTCTTCAACAAAAAATAATAATAGTAACAATCATCTTTACCAATGCCACACTGTCCTGTATACAAAGAGAATACTGAATATTTTTGTAGGCTGTGTTAAGGTTAATTTAGACAAGTTTACATTTTACGGTTTTTTTTTTTTTTTTTGTCCCACTGCAAATAAAATGGGGCTATTGATAATTGGTAACTGGCATCAGAGCAGCCATCAGGTAAAAAGGTAAACCCCGGGCTGATGTGGCTCAAGCAGTAGCGCGCTCGCCTGGCATGTGTGTGGCCGGGGGTTCGATCCTCAGTACCACATACAAACAAAGATGTTGTGTCCCCTGAGAACTGAAAAATAAATATTAAAAAAAAAATTTTTTTTAAATAAAAATTAAAAAAAAAATAAAAAGGTAAACCCCCTTCCCCATCCACCCCCATGCCAGTTATTATGAGCTTTCCCTCCAGGAGAGTTCAGGGGAAAAAAAAATACCTACTCATGTTGACTAGAATCCCAAAGAGCCCACGCTAATTAAGGTATCCACACTCTTCCAACGGAGGCAGGAGTAAAAAGGCCAGGTTCCTTTTATAGCCTGCTAACTTGTTCATCTGGATCGGTGCAGAAATATTTACCTCCTACAATCACTGTACTTTGCTCATTCAATCCTTGTGAAGATGAAAGGAGATAATGCACGTAAAGTGCCAAGAACCGGGTGCACAAGGAACTTAATAAACAATGAGCCTAGAAATTGTAAAAACAAAACAAAGATTGTCTCTTGACACTTATCAGCTTACTCGAAATAGGAAGGATTGAAGCATAAGGCAATCAGTTCCACAGCATACTCTAGAGAAATCTAGGTTGCCCTCTAACTTTAAGTCACTTGCCAGCAATAATGCAGAATTTTCACAACTCCACAGTACTCAGGCCCCACTACTGCCTTCTCACTCCCAGTAACTGAGAAGTGGCAGAGTTTTAAACAATGAGAACAGAAACGCCAAGAAAGACCTTTAAAGAAATTCCTCAAAGCCCTTTGGCACTAATCATGTGGAAGTTTTGCCAGAAGTCAAATATCCAACACTAGAAAAACTTTGCCAGAGTGTATGTGTGCTGGGGGAGGGAGAGTGGATGTGGAAAAAAAGCACAGAATCTAAAGATCCAAATGAAAACGTTACATCCCATAATAGACCAGATCCTAAAAGTCCAGCCCGGCTCTTTAGATATGCATAGTATGTTTTCCTTCCAGGCATAAAACTGTTTTGTGATTTTAAAGATCATCATATAAAAATAAGGGAAGATATGCAATAAGCAAGTTCTACTATAATTTGTAACTGAATTTTCTGTTCACTCGGGGTACACAGGTGACATACCAGGTTGACTTTTCTAATGCCCACACCCTAGTATGTAACTATGCAGGCAACATTTAAAAGATGGCAAGTGAATAATATCTGCACTCCAGAAAAGATGATACCTTTGCAACAGTCTTAAGACTGTGTAGCAAAAACAAAGTGGCCACAAAAGTTTTGATTTTTATTTAGTGTTAGTCTACTCAATTTGTAAAAGACCGGGCCATAAGATAATTTTGGTAGCATTTGAACCAGGTTTTGGAAAAAGGGCATCAGTACAGCTGCTTAGCAATTCAAAACCATGCTTTCCATAATACAAAGGCGGATGAAGCCCTTAATTTCAGAGAAGGGGAGGTTACATTCTACCCCTTGCTGAGTACTTGGCTTATTTCACTTGATAAAAAGTTTTTATGGCAACCCCTGTTAATTACCACAAAAGTTATATGTTCTCTACAACTCAAAGGAAAAAGTGCAACTGGCAAAAGTCAGGTTTTTCTTTATTTAATACATTCTAATCAAATAGTAACAGCAGTAAATAAACACTTTGAAAAACAGGCAGGTATCCCCCTATATATGGAAGAAAATTAAGTCAAGGTATTCTACACAGTAGAAGGGAGACAACTGCTGATGTCCGTGGTTAGACAATTCAAGGACTGGGAAATTTCTAAAGCCATTTCCAAAAAAATCAATGGCAACAGTTTGGGGCACAGCTACTTCAAAGGGTAAAATGTCTATATCTACACTGGTTTTTATTAACAGAGATTGAGTTGCACCTGTAGAGCATGACATTCTTGTCTTTAGCCTTAAAGGAAAAGAGAAAGTCTTTTCCATTTGCACCAGTTTGAAATATTTCTGAAATAAGGCTCCCTTGAAATGGGTTACTACAGTACTCATTCACAGGAGAGTTCATACCTGTAGTAAAAAGACAAATACAGGATCTCATGGTCACTTTTTTTTTTTTTTTTGGTTGATTTGGTTAATTGCATAAAATGAGGGATAAATACTCACAAGCATGATGTGTTCGACAAAACTACGTACATCAGAATGCAACATATAAAATGTCCTTAAAGATACTGATCATCAGGCGTATAAACTCAAGGTAAGCCTGCATCAGCTTGGTTCCTTTTGCTTCTTCAGTACTCCACTCGCTCTTTGTTACTGGGGCTTGGAGCTTGGAACTTGGACCTTGGACCTAACGCAAAGGAACTTCAGAAAGACAAGGCATTCTGATAAAATGCTCCCTCAGCCTTTACTTGGGGCATTTTATTTCTTAGTTAAAAGGATCAACTGATCTTGGTCAGCCTTAGGAAAGGAAGCATCACTCAGGTGAAAAGATCTAGGGGAATTTTAAATACCTAGCTACCTCTTTACTCATTTAAATTAGGTTGACTTCAGCTGTTTTTAGAATTCTGTGCAGTTATCCAGTCGCTCAAGTTTTGGTGTTGTCTTACATAGCTGCATTTGGAGATACTCTATATGATGATGTTTAGAAAAACAGAAACACTTACACCTGGAATTTATATTCTTCCAAGTAATCTTTTAGTCTTGTTGGTAAAGGCAGTCCCCAGACGGTACCGGTACATTTATTAATGGTGAGTCGACAGAGATGCTGAAGAGATGGTGCAGATGTATAGAGCGGTTTGGTCAGATAGAGGTGAACAGTCCCATTCCGGGGGGCTTCTGGGCCCGACCGCTTATCCTTGCACATCTGAACATAGTAGTCAATCAGATGAACCACACTGTCAAATTGCTTAAGCTTGGACTTGACACATATGATAGAATCCAATCTGAATTTCCCATCTTGGTACTCAATTCGCAGATTAGTTGGTCCAGCTGACGTTTTAACAGATATTGTTAGTAGGTAGTCTGAATGCGAACTATCTCTAATCAAGAAAGTTCCTTCTGGCGCCTCTTTTAATTTCTCTTTGGCTTCATTAACAGTCATACTTCCCCAGTACCATCCTGGGGTTTTTGTTCAAAAAGAAAAAGAAAAGAGGGTAAAATAGTTATTATAAGAATTTTTAGAATAGGGGACGTACTTGCCAGTAATTTTTCTAGCTCTTAAAAAAAAAAAAATACTTGTGAGTGGAAGTTTACCAGGGGCTACCACAAATACCTTTGGTAGGAATTTAATGAAAATATGAGTCCATTTTATTTTATGAACACAAACTGTGAGCCAGTGTTCTTTCTTTTCAAAATAACTTTCTGTAGTTCTCCTTTAAACTATGTTAAGATTTTCTTCTAATAAGCCAAAAAAACATTTGCAGTATGACTCACTGGCTGACAGAGCATGATGAGTTGATTACTGTTTCATTGAAACAAAGATTAGAAATAAATTAGATATTAGCTATAAAAGCCATATTTTTAAAAAGTGGAAAACCCAACTCCAGTAATTCCAATAGACTAAAATCAGAAGCAAGTTTTTTGAATGGTTGGTGCCACCCCTATACTCTCCCCCAAAGAACCTCCTAAATGGCTGCGCCCCTTGTTCAAAGCCCTCAAAAGCACTCCTATTTACTTATTTTAAAAGTACAGCTATCCTGCAATAGCTTTTGCTTGCTGCTCTGATTACAACTATCTCATCAGTCATTGAGAAATGGGAAGTCCCAATTGATAATACTTCAGGTTTATAATCTTCTCTAAACTCTTGTGGACTTTGCCCTGATTCAAATTCAGTCACAACCGTTGGTCTCCTCCGCATTCTCCATTTGATCTGCTTCGGCCATCTCCCCGGCCCATCCCGTTTTCAAAAATGACTCAAAGACATTTTGCATTTAAGACGCTTGAACAAAGTGCTTCCCCCGCCCCCGTCAAAAAATATTATTATTATTTTTTAAACCAGGATACTTGTAATCGGCGGGTCTCTCCGGCCAAGGGAAAGCCCATGACCCGTAGGGAAAGACCGGAACACCAAGGGAGGGAATTTTTCCCTCTGTCCCCCGCCCCTGGCCTATTGCTATCCAAAACTTAAACTGTGCCTCAAACGTAAGATTTCAGGATCCAGATTTTAAAAAGCCTGAATAACTTGCACATATTTTTTT